TCTTGATTTGCATTTAGAATCCACTATTAGGAATCCAAGGGGAAGAGGAAGTTCACATAGAACCAATCTACCAATGGATGCTCTCAATGATGATCATGTTGAAGACCTTGGTCACATAGACCAACAAGGCATCCTTCACCCTAATGTGCAAAATGATAATATGCAAGTTCTATTAGGCATGCCTAGGCCATACATTCATCAACCTCAATAACAACAAGGCCAAATTCCAATGGGAATTCCAAGGCCAATGTATGCACCACAACCCCCCATCATTAATCAAGCTCAATATAACCAAGGTGTCCATGTTGCACCTCAAGTTGCTAATCCACCACTCGCATTGAGAGATCACTATGTGCCTAATGAGTATAATGCACCCACATGCATTCAATTGCCACCATTTAGAGCACACCATTATGAGATTAAAGCACAAACTATCCAAATGCTACCTAACTTTCATGGACTTCCTAGTGAAGAACCTTATAAGCATTTGGATGAGTTTCTTGAAGTTTGTTCTACCGTTCGATACACGGACATGCCGGAAGAAGTTTTAAGGCTGAAACTTTTTCCATTCACCCTTAAAGATAAGGCGAAGTATTGGTTCAACAACCTTAGGCCTTTTTCTATAACTTCTTGGGCAGAAATGCAACAAGAATTTTTGAAAAAGTACTATCCGGTTTCGAAGACCAATGCTATGAGAACCGCAATTAGGGAATTCACACATGGGGAGGGAGAAACTTTCCACGAGGCATGGGAACGCTTCAATGAATTGCTTAGGAAATGTCCTCACCATTACATGCCTAAATGGCAATTGGTCCAATTCTTCTTTGAAAGCATATCAGACAATTATAAAGGCATGGTTGATGCTTCAATGGGAGGTTCTTATATAGACCGGCAAGAGGAAAACGTGTGGCGTCTTTATGAAAGCATGAGTGAAAACTCTTTGCATAGAACATTGTCATCTAGGAATGGTAGAAATTCTCAAGGTAGGAAGAGTGTTGGCTTACATTAAGTTGACCACTCAAATGATATAACTGCCGAGATGAAGTCTTTATCTCAAAAGTTTGATCAATTGATCAATCAAAACTTGGCGAATCAAGTGTCTTCCTTTCCTAATCATTCTCCTAGAGCTCAAAATGAATCATGTATGACTTGTTCTAGTGTTCTTCATTCTATTTCTAGTTGTCCTCATGGACAAATTCAAAATGAACCCATTGAGCAAGTTAATGCAACATTTATGAACCAAGGGAACAATCCTTATGGTAACCATTACAATCCCGGTTGGAGGAATCATCCTAATTTTTCTTGGAAAAACCAAGGGGAGGTCTCAAATTCTTCCCAAGGCGGTTTTCAAGAGAAATACATTCCACCTCCACTTCAAAACCAAGGATCCCAATGTTCAAAACCATATAACTCACAAGGAAATCAATTTGTTAATTCTCATTTTCCTCACCAATCATATTCTCAAGGAAATTCTAGAGGTTCCGCTTTTGAGGAAAAGGTTTTAAATGCTTTGGGCACTCTAGAAGCAAATACTCAAGTATTGCATTCTCATTCTTAATCAATTGCCAAGCTAGAAACCCAAGTAGGGCAAATAGCTGAAACACTTAATGCTAGAGAGAAGGGAAAGATGCACGTGAATGCCCCAATCAAACAACAATGTGTTGTAGAAACCAAATCCTCATTGGAAGGGCATAATGTTGAGCATGTCAATGCGGTAACAACCTTGAGAAGTGGTAGGGTAGTAGACAATCAAGTTAGAATGCCTAATGAAGAGAGTGAACCGGTACAACCTCAAGTTGTCACCCGTCCCGTTCCACACACTATTCCTCCTTCATTGCATGTGCATGATCTTGAGAATGAGAAGCCCTCAAATTGTGAGTTGAAAGATGATTTCCAAAGAGATTCATTGAAAATAGTGTTGAAAAATGTGTTTGAGAAAAGTTCTTTGAAAAATGTTATTCATGATTCTTCTTTGAAAAGTGATTTGAAATCCAATGAATCGAACAAGTCCAATGCTGAAAAAACTTTGAAAGAAAATGCTGAAAGAGTTTTTGAAAAAGCTCCATTTCCGGACGCCTTGAAAGGGTCCATTTCAAAAGAAATGCAAAAGACCAAGAACAATGAGATAATGGATATGTTTAGGCAAGTCACAGTTAATCTTCCACTTTTGGATGCAATTAAGCAAATTTCGGCTTATGCCAAATTCTTAAAAGACTTATGCACCCAAAAGCGGAAGAACAAGAGCCAAACATCAAAAAAGGTGGTCTTAACCGAACAAGTGAGTTCCATTCTACAACACAACACTTTGCCAAAGTTTAAGGACCCCGGTGCACCTACAACATCTTGTGTCATTGGTGAACATGTCATCAACCGGGCACTTCTTGACTTAGGGGCTAGTGTTAACCTTCTTCCCTATTCGGTTTATGTCAAATTGGGCCTAAGTGAATTGAAACCGACGTCGGTGGTTTTACAACTTGCCGACCGATCCATTAAGAAGCCTAGGGGGATAATTGAGGATGTATTGATTAAGATTGATAAGTTCTTCTTCCCGGTTGACTTTGTCATCATTGACACGGAACCGGTGCCCAATCCAAAGAACCAAATTCCGGTTATCCTTGGCCGTCCTTTCTTGGCAACCTCAAATGCCAACATAAATTGTAGGACGGGGATAATGAAGATTTCTTTTGGGCACATGAGAGTGAAGTTGAACATCTTTAACCCCACACCCAATCCATTTGACAAATATGAAGAAGAGGTTAATGTGGTAGAGGAATATCATGATCTTGCTTGTGAAAGAAATGAGCTTTTGTGCATGAACAATGTTTCAAAGCCTTCATCTTCATCTTCAGCATTGCATGCCAGAAAAGTGATTTCGAACTCTTGTTGTGAAAGGGCGTGGAAGCCCAAGGAAGGTTTTGACAAAGAACTCAAGACGTCTTTTGAGTTTACCCCAACAAGTTCTTCTAAGAACCATTTGTTGGGAGTGACTCGAAACATCTCTCATCCCAAAAAGGAGGGGATGCATTGCAAGATCTTTGATCCGGGCTGAAAGAGCCCAAGGTCTTGCTAGAGACGTTAAAGACTAGCACCGAAATTCGTAGGATGTCAAAACCCTATTCCTCCCTCATTTCTATCTTGCATTTTGATTCTTGCGAAGTCTAGATACTGTTTTTGTGGTTCATATAAATTGGAAGGAACTGAGTAAGGGATTGCATGAGCATTCAAGTCATTTTGAGCATTTAGGCATAATTTCGATCGATGCAAGTTTTGGTTCGATCAATCGAACTTTGGTTCGATCGATCCAACTATGGACTCGATCGATCCAGCTCTCATTTTGCACCCAACACTTAGAAAAATTTTGGACCTGCATCCAAACTCCAAAATGCATGCTCTCGGGATCTCCAAATTTTTAAAAGTTCGATCGATCGTAAACCATTTCGATCGATCGAACTACCTTTCGATCGATCCAACATGTGGTTCGATCGATCATGAGTCCCAACACTTAGAAAAATTTTGGACCTGCATCCAAACTCCTAAACGCATGCTCTCGGGATCTCCAAATTTTCAAAAGTTCGATCGATGGTAAACCATTTCGATCGATCGAACTACCTTTCGATCGATCCAATATGTGGTTCGATCGATCATGAGTCCCAACACTTAGAAAAATTTTGGACCTGCATCCAAATTCCAAAATGCATGCTCTCGGGACTTTTCAAAATTTTTCATGATTCGATCGATCGAATTCCAAGTTCGATCGATCCAAGGTTCCAACACATATCAACTCTTGAACCCTTAAACTTGTACATTCTTTATCCTCTTCGATCGATCGAAATCTTTCTTCGATCGATCGAAATTTGCATCTCATTAATTTAATTCCCTTTGATTTTTCAAAATTTATTCTAAAAAAAAAAAAAAAAAAAAAAAATTGCCATTAAGAGTGGAGACCTAAGTTCGATCGATCGAACTCCATCTTCGATCGATCGAACTCTGCATATCGTGTTTTTAAAAATATAACCGAGTTGGATCGATCACTTTAGATCGATCCAACTTCAAAAGGAAACCAAACCCTAGTCTCCCTCTTCTCTCAATCTCATCTCAATCCGGCCAACCTCCATTCCAATCATCTTCCCCATCTCCGGCGAGCCAATTCCGGCAAGGTAGAGCCTTATTTTCACCGCAGCTTCGCACCCTCTCTCTCATCTCATCCCTCTCGGTTTTGAGGTAAATCACGAGCCATTTCTTGATTTAAAAGTTTAATCAATGCATGATTCATGATTTTCTATATTGATTTATGTTGTATGTGTATTAATCATCCATTTTGAAGCATCAATTTCATGATTATGGTATACATATTCACACATGCATTCGGCCGAACCAAATTGGGGATTTTTTATTTGATTTGGCATTTGGGGAGTGTTTGGGTGTTGAGGATGGGATGTTTGGTGTGTAGATGGGCCCACAAACACGTTTATGTGGGCCCCGTGCTCTAGATCTCACAGATCTACGACTTTTCAGATTCGGCATTCGCACAGTTCGATTGATCGAACTTGTTCTTCGATCGATCGAAGTAGTGAACTTCATTTCACTATCTTCGATCGATCCAATCTTGTGCACTTTCATACTTCGATCGATCCAAGTGTTGGATTGATCCAATTCACTTCGATCGATCCAACTTTTGAACATTTTTCACTTCGATCGATCGAAATTTTCTGTGATCGATCAAACTTAAAGTTCGATCAATCGAACTTTCACAGATTATACATACACACTCCATTCATCTTGTGTCGTCTTCATGCTATCTTTATATGCACAATGCCTGTGATATTCCATATTGGATGCATTTCATACCTATATTACTTAGCATGATTCACATATCATCATCATCATAGATTCATGTCATCCGTATTTTGTCTATCTTATTTGACATACATGTTTCTATTATGCACTTAAATTCTTATATATCTGGCACTGACTTATATTGAAATTTTCTTGTTTTGCAGATCATGCCTCCGCGGTACAAGAGTACAGCCAGGAGATCTTCGGGGCCACAGCGACCCCGCAGACATATACGGCCCAGGATAGAGATGGTTGCCGAGCCATCTCATGTTCAGGCGGAGCCCGCACAGGCTACTCCCCCTCAGTTCCCATCCCACGAGGCTGAAGAGGGAGCTGACCACATGCCATCTACATCTCAGGCTCCTCCAGCCTTCACACCATCACCTTCTCCTGTGCGCCATCAGGCAGATGCAGCCGCCATGCCATCACCGCAGCCACCTCTACTGGCTCAGCGCCGTGACCAGTTGCTGCCGAGATATGCAGCTATGACCGTGGCTCAGGAGTCATACTTCGATACTGAGTACTTCTCCGAGTCTATCCTGACCCGGTCTGGCTATCAAGATATCATGCAGCGGGGCCTCTCAGCCATCTTTGCCCCAGTCACCGGCCTTGTATACCCGCGACTGGTGCGGTTATTCTTTCAGCATCTCCGGCCCTCGCCACGATCTACCGCAGAGATGATCACTACACTGGACGGCCACGAGATTGTCATCACAGTTGACACTCTGGCCCGTGTTTGCCGGTGCCCACACCGGTGTCCACCTGAGCTTGCAGAGACATACCCGAGGCTGCATAGGCCTTCATTTTCTGACATGGCTGTCTCCTTGACAGGCCATCATGCCGGTGGTCAGACATTCGCCACCAGGACCTTCTTGCCTGACGACCTCTGATTCATTGACACAGTTCTTTTCCAGAACATTTACATGGCGGGCCACAAGATCCAGAGGCGTCATGACTACTTGACAGCTCTTTACGCTTTTTACACGGGCTGCTGGGTATCTATCCCAGTCCTCATCTGGAGCGTGATGAGGTTACTGTATGATTCTTTCATTTCCAGGAAGGACCCTAAGCGGTCCAAGGTCCTGCCCTTCGGACACCTCATCACGCATATCCTTCTTGACCAGCGCTACAGAGTGCCCCCAGATGAGGAGCCCCTCACACGGTCCAGCTTCTATAGGAGGAGCGACTGGAATAAGAGCTACAATGCTCTTATTCGGAGTCTTCAGGAGCCAGCTGTAGAGGCAGCAGCTGAACTAGAGGAGGAGGAGGCAGCCCAGGCACAGCCGGCACCTCCAGCAGCAGCAGATATAGCAGCGGATGACGCACCAGTCGGTCCGGCTACCGATCGCATGGACATTGACCTGGAGCGACCTGCGGAGGAGTATGCCGATGCTGCAGATGATGCTGATGCCGATGATACCAGTGATCGAGCCGCTGCTCAGGAGCGAGTTCGGGAGTCTTCTTCAGAGGCATCTCTGCCTGAGTCTCCAGTTCCCACTCCCGGATTCGGAGCACGCTTGCAGACACTGGAGGAGGACGTAGCAGCCATGCGAGCAGACATCACTGCCCACCGAGCTGAGTTCACCTCTTTCAGGGCGGATGTCATGGCTTGCCAGCCGACTCCCTACACCTGCATCCGCACCTGCACCTGCACCTCCAGCCACTATAGATCTTCACGATCAGGCCTCCTGAGACTCCACTTCCAGTTGTTTTATGCTTTCATTTCTTTTATTCTGGATCTGTATTATACTGTCACTGTTACTGTATTATACTTTGCGGTCGGTCTGTCGGCTTTATTATTTTATTGATGTACCTGCACTTTATATTCTCTATATATTGCTTTTTGATTATGGATATCTCTTAGTATCTCATATTTGTATGTTTGACTCCATCAGGTACACCACAGTGACTTTAGTGAGAGAGTGCTGCCTAATTTTTCAGGACCACTCTTACACCTCTCTCTCTATTCTCTATTTATCCCATCTTACACTTGCATGTCCACTGTGCACTGATTATCCTATCTTGTTATCTAATGAGTTTATCCGAGTGCAAACTTTTCAGGACCATAGTTTATCCCAAGTTTGGGGGGGCCATGCCACCCACTTTGGATACTTCTATCCCGATCATTCATGTCTAAAGCACTGGTATACTCTTTCCTTTATTCTCTTCACACATTGAGGACAATGTGCAGTTTAAGTTTGGGGGTATTGGTGTATATTTCAGTGTTACTTTAAAATTTAAATTTTGAGCATGTCTTGTGTATTTGAGGGATATTTCTATACTTGGTCCATTTCTAGCTATGATTTTGATCTTTTGAGGACTATATTGCTTAAAATTTAAAAATTGCTTGACTTGAGAGTCCAATACTCCTTGTATGCCTTGAGGATGCTATTTAGGAGTAAATTTTTTAAAAGATTGATATCTTGCTTGCATTTGTGGTCCACATCATCCTGATTTTGTGATTGTTTTGAGATTCATTCTAGGATTCTACACTAGCACCGGCGCACGCTAGCATTCAATTGTGGGGTACATGCTTTGTTGATTATTGAATTGGTTATATCCCAATTGGGCTAGTAGTGCATTGAAAGCTTTCATTCTTGATAAAGGTGGATAACAACCCCTTTTCATTGAGTAGCCGGGATTCTTGCCTCATTAAGCAGTGAACTTCTCGCGCCGAAAGGTGGAGGGCCCAAACTCTAGGTTAATAATTGAATTAAAAAAAAAAAAAAAAAAAAGAAGAAGAAGAAGAAGTTGCAAAAAGCAATAAAAGTGAGGACTTCTCCTAAAAGGTGAGAAGTAGGAAATGATTAGATGGTTGTTGTCTTGATTTGTAGCCTAGTTGATTTGAGTTTGTAAGTCCGTAGGGGTGTCTTAACACCTAATGCCCTAAAGCCATCTGGTTTGGGAGTCATTGACCTAAGGCTCGCTACATGAATCTTCTAGAAAGCTTAAGAGATCAACACATTGCACAATACTTCCATCTTTGATCCTCAATAAAAAATAAAAAAATAAAAAAATAAATAAAAAAAATAGAGTGAAAAGAATAAGCGCACCTAGAACAATAAAGCTTTAATAAAAGGTCCACTCTCTTATCTTGATGATCGGTACTAGATTTGTGTGCTAGTTTGAGGGTAAGGATGTGATTACTTCTCTAGTTGGCTAAGATAGCAACACACTTGATGCCGGACCTCTCACATGGATTCTAGACTTGTTTTGATTTTCATGATCATTTTCTTGATGTGTGGAGGACCATGCTTGCTTGCTTGATATTGAAATTTTGGGAGATTGCTTAGAAACGATTGAAAAATTGCATACTTGAGGTAGTTTTCTCCCAATGCTTGTTTGCAATATTGGTGCCTCTTTTGAAAGAATGAGCTTAATGTTTGTGGGTACCATTTCTGGAAACCCTCACGAGACTTTACTCGTCCACTAGGGGTAACCTAGGAGTTTAAAAGGCTTGTTGCATATGCTAAATGCAATCGTGTTCCCTGCGAAAATGGTGTTATCATTTTACTTGCTTTCCAGTTTATACTTGTTTAGTTGTTCATTTCATTCCTTTACTTCTTAGTTCATTGCTAGGGACTAGCAATATTTAAGTTTGGGGGTGTGATGAGCACTGAAAAGTGCGCATTTAAACCCGTTAAGCTTAAGCATTTTAGTACCTTTATCTATCTTACTTTACCGTTTTAGACTTATTACGTGTTATTTATATTTTCAGGCACTAATCCCAAAATTGAGCTAACTCAGCCAAATAAGAGCTTAATTGAAGCAATCCTGAGATAAACCAAAGGAGGGAGCAAAGTGGAGAAAGCAAGGAGCAAAAAGGAATCAAAGTTGTGCAGCTGAAAAGTTCGATCGATCCAACTTAGAGTTCGATCGATCGAACATCTATGATCGATCACAGTACTTCTTGATAGATCCAACCTTGGCCTTTGCTGAAATTCCAAGTTCGATCGATCCAACATCACCTTCGATCGATCGAACCCTATTTTGTCCTATTCAAATGATTTATCTTATCTACAGCTGTACGCCTACCAACCACTTTTGTCCTTTTCCCCATAAATATCTTCAAAATATCTCAGCCTTGTCCTTATCCGGAGGAGTCAGACCACTTCGATCGATCCAAGATGCAGTTCGATCAATCGAACCCATCTTCGATCGATCCAAGTTAAGGTTCGATCGATCAAACTTCCTCCAGCGAGAAAAAGTTAAAGTCCAGCTCATTTATTCCGTCCTTCACCCAATCATTGGAGAATATGCCTTGCACGACCACAGCTCATCATAGGGTGTATTTGACCTACCTATATAAGGAATATGATACACTTTTTGGAGAGGAGTCTAGAGTCTCTTGTCACACATTGAAAATCATCTTGGAGGCTATTCTTGGAGAGGAAGAAGGGAGGAAGCTAGAGCAACCATTGGAGGAGATCTTCACCAACAAGGAGCAGCCATGGAGTTAGCCCTTGAGGGTTGGATCATCACTACCATGAGTGGCTAGACATCTTCTTGGGGCTAGAGTTAGCCCCAAGCATGCTTTCTATACTCTAATCTTGTGTATTATTGAGAGATTAGTGTTGTATGATACATCTTGATATTCATGTATATATAAATCTTAATTATTTCATGGTTTGTATGGTTTAATGCTTCCAATTGACTATTCTATGCTACCTATATGTCTATGTATGCTAAAGTAGGATATTCATGTGCTTATCTCTAGATTTAGTGTTTTTGATGCATGTCTATGTGTATTGATGCTATAGATCTAGAGATTATCAAGATGATGTACTTAATGAATGCTATTTTGGTTCATTTGATGGTTTATGCCTATTATTGATGGTTTGTGCCTCTCCCCTAGTCTAGATAGCTTTATTTTCATGCTAGTAGTGTAGATTTAGTGTAGTGTTAGTATAATGTTAGATGGGAGGACAATCTACTCTTGATGTTTGATGTTCCATGCTTGTGAGTCCAAATGGCATATTCCTCTAATATTGTGTTGCATGTGGATTGTGAGCTTAATGAATGATTAATGACTTGTTTTGATCTATTGTGCTATCCCCATGTTGTCTAGACAATATATGCTCTATTGCTTAGATATATTGTGCTCTTCACATGATGTTTAGACAATACTTGCTTGATTTGTCATCCTTGCCAATTGAATCAACCTAATGCACACACACCCATATCATATTGCAACACATCCATTACCCTCAATTGATCACTTGTTAGTAGTATAGAAAAGTATTGCTTGGTGGTGATCTCTACACCCCAAGACCTCTCTCTCTCTTGTTTACCTCATATTATTTTATTTAGTTGAATTCAATTTAGCTTAATCAACCAACCAACCAATTGTGTGATCACTCGACCTACTAACCCTAATTACCATAGTTCACAATTCGATACACCATCAAATCCCTTGGGACGATCCCTACTCGCCCTATCTATATTTTATATAGAGAAAGGTAGTAGTGGCTTTTTATAAATGTAAAACTTGGCCACCTCCTAAACACACACAACTCTCAAGCTTTGTTGGTTGTGGCGACTCCATCAAGGAAACCAACAACACCTGCTCTCTCTCTCTCTAAAGCCCGTCTGTGTTTTCTGTTGTCTTCCTTGCCTCCGACAATACTGGGAGTCTCTGTACTAATTTTATTATGTTTTTTAGGGTTCCATCTTAGTCCCAGTTTAATCATAAAACATTGTTATACAACCATGACATGAATTGAACACAAGATTCTAAAACAACGGCGACAGGATTTCAATTTAAAACTTTAAGCAAACTCAAACCAGATTAATTCAATGAAATTACATACTGTTAAAAATGCATAAAAGATGTGTTTTAGCATTAGTTTAATCCTTGGAGTCTACCTAGGCATGCACTGAACACAGGTTTAAGGGAAAGAGATGGAATAGAGACTTGCCTTTAGGTTTCCGTTCAAGACTTTAAACCTCCGTCTCTGTAATTTCCGACCACTTCCCAGTTTGTCGTTTCACTCCTCTGTTGCTCTTATTCAACCCAAAAGCACTCCATCCCGTCCTCCTTGAACCTCTCCGTCTATCTCTCAAAATCCCTCTCTGCCTCTCAATATCCTCTTTTCGTGGTTTTAGTCGTAAAACCCTAGATAGAACCCATATGATAGTATATATATACAGACGTCTCTAAACCCTAGTCCACTTAGAATTAGAGATTGAAAACCCTAATTAAATTCTAGTCGGCCTCCACTTGAATCCTAAAAGAAAACTGAAACCTAATTTAAACATTAACTAAACCGTAATGAAAACCCATTCACGTATATAAGTTACTAACCAATTATAGAAAAACCAACATAAAATACAACTAATTTAATCTCATTAAACTAGGTGAATTCCAAATAGAAAATACAAGTAAACAATTAAAGAAAATAACACACAATAATTAAATAATTTAAATAAATCAAATATCAAATAATAAATGTAAATAAACGATTAAACAAATTAAATTAACAATTAAACAAATAAAAATGCAATAAAATAAAAATTAACATGCCGAGACTATCCTTTTAAAATTAGGGGTATTACATTCTTCACCCCTAATAAAAGGAATTCTGTCCTCGGAATTCGCTTTTAACTTCTTCCAATATATCAGGAAACTACGAGCGAATGACATCATCCCGTTCCCAAGTAGACTTAGCCTCATTGTGATGACTCCACTGAACACGCACCAAAGGGATAACCTTATTACGAATGATTTGATCCCGACAATCGACAATACGACACGGTGGCTCCAAATAAGTTGGATCCGGCTGCAACTCAATCTCCCCAACATCGATATGCTGATACCGATCCTCATCTTGCAGAAATTTCCGCAACATGGAAACATGAA